GGTCAAACTATTCTCCAAAGCACCCGAAGGCAGGACAAGAAGCAATGGATGATGGAAACTAATCAAGGGGAAACCCAACCTGGAATTAAGGAGAAATTTTCTGGAATGGCTTGCCTCCGGAAGTTGTGAGTGGAGGTTTTCAAGATGAGACCGGAGAGCAATTTGTCTGGAATGGTATAGGCAGTGTTTCTCAACCTTGGTAGCTTGAAGATGGGTGGACTTCAACTCCCAGAATCCCCCAGCCAGCAACGCTGGCTGGGGGATTCTGGGAGTTGAAGTCCACCCATCTTCAAGCTTCCAAGGTTGAGAAACACTGGTATAGAGTCTCCTGCTTGAGTGGAGAGTTGGACTAGAAGACCTTCAAGGTCCCTTCCAACTGTTATTCTGTATCTGTGCCTAAACATTCCCTTGAGGGATGAACTTTGGAATGTGGCTTTCTCAATATTTAAGAAAATTTGTATGGCCACCCACTCCTCTCAGTGAGTTACAAAAATAGGAATCTTGTCTTCTTTGAAACAGAATGACGAAGTGTGTTTATTAGCAGGTTAAATAAAGGACTTGCATTTCTGGACATGAGCAAATTAATCCAAAATGAGTTTCTGTACTGCAGGTCACCATCGCAAAATCCAGATGCTTGTGAGATGAGCAGCGGTGTCTCTAAAATGGGCCACCATCTTAGGACCAAGGGAAGATTTTGGTGTCCTGCTTAGTGTAGTTTAACAATAAAAGCCACATTCTCTTGTTGACAACTGACTTTCTGAAGGATCTTGAAGAATAAGATCTAGTCATTGATCAGGTTCAGGCAACAGACTTAACTTGGTTATTTAAGTAATCCATTTTCTCGACTTGTAGGGTTACATCGACGGTTGAGTATTGAATGAAGCTAATCCATGTTCTGGATTCATGCTGTACATTGATGCATAAATTAGAAGGTCTGAGTTTGCATTCTACACTAAATCAGGAGTCTCCAACACTGGCAACTTAAAAACCTGTGGATTTCAACTCCCAGAATTCCCCAGTCAGCATAGGTAGCTGGGGAATTCTGGGAGTTGAAGTTCACAAGTGTTAAAGTTACCAAGGTTGGTTACCCTGCACTAAATCATAGAAAAACTAAATTAGGTTAATATATGTTGCATGCTATGATGTCCTTAACTGTCCTGATTAAACATATTAAATAACTCCAAATTTCTGGAATTTTTTTCACTTTTATCAACCCAGAGATTAGTCAATATGTCCTTTCTCTTCTTTTCTAAAATATTTCCTGCTCATTTGTCTAAGGGAAGAAACAGGATGGAGAAATGAGGTGACATGGCTTATTGCCATTCAATCTATTGCAATAAAGCTACAAATAGGCACATTGTTTTATAGGCTTTTATAGGTTTTATATTTCCGGCAGCAGAAGAGTGAGAGCTAAGTCAAAATCATTCAGTAATACGAGTTTTCTCTGAAGTGGTCATGAGGGACTTCTCCCGAGCTACCACTTTCTCTGAGAAGAGTGTTTGCTGTTGTTGTTTAATATTCAGGAAATAAAGTACCTGGAACATTTGAAGATATAATCAGGTGGATTAAAAAAAATAATTTGCACCTGCTTAGGTGCAAAATCTCTGATCCTGGGGATACGAACTTGGAAGAAATGCCAGTATGATTTGCTTAACACAGGAACAAATAATTGTCTATAGAAGTAGTCCTCACTTACCAATGGGCAACTCTGTTGCTAAGCAATGTGGTCCTAAAGTAAAGTATCATATGACCACATTGAAATATGATGCTTGTTTTGTTGCAGTCATTAAGCAAATGCCACATAGGGAAGTTTAATGTGACAGGACCATGATTTGAGACTTCTTGCTGGCTTCCCCAGTGACTTTTCTTGTTGGAAGTCAGTTGTGCAGGTTGTCCATAGGATGCTGTTGTGGCCCGCCAACGGCCTGCATGGATTGTGGCTGATCCCGACGAGGAGGAGGCTGGTGTGGTGTCGCGCCAGCAGCCGGCGCAGCCGGCGCTCGCGTTGGATAGTGAGGAGGTTGAAGAGGATGTGGTGCCAGAGGCAGAGACTCAGCCAGGGCCTTCAGAACCTCCAGAGGCTCCTTCAAGTGGAGAGAGTGAAGTGGAGGAGCATCTCCTCAATGCTCGAGCACACAGGGCTGCCAAAAGGCAGGAGTGGCTACTCAGGAGGAGGAGGTCTCCTTGAGAGTAAGGCTTGAGGATAATTGGCCACTCCCTTAGCCTATTTAAGTCACACGCTGTTAGTAAGTTTCTTGCTAGAAACAACTTGTAATTATCATCAGAGCATTTTTGGAAAAGTCTTACCGTATCTTGCTTTCTGGGCTGGTTGCCAACCTTTGCTGGACTTTGGTTTATTCTTGCTACTTAATAAATTTGATAAGGACCGTTGGTGTGTGTCAATATCCTCGGGAATCTGGAGCTGGGGCAGAACAGATGCTATGACTGTTATAAATGTGCAACAGTGGCAGCAAAGATGCTCTATGCACAAAAATGGGAAGATACTTTTATTCCCACCATGGATGACTGGCTGGAAAATTATTAGCAGAGATGGCTAAATTGACTGCTAATTGACTGATTAAAGAAAAGAACACAACTAACTTTGTTTTTACTTGGTAACTGCTTCTGGACTTTGTGCTTGAAGTTAAAAAAAATTAAAAGTTTGATTTTGGGTATTGCTGACTAGATAGATTTGTTGTTATAGGGATGGTTCGTATATATTATTAAGTGAAAGCAAAATTTGTGGCTGTAGGTTATTATCTTATTCTACTGCACTAAAAAGAGCCAAAAATCAATGTTTTTCTTTCTTTTTCCCCTTTTCCGCTATACTTTTTTCCTCTTTCCTTTTTCCTCCACTACTTTCCCACTATTTTCATTTTTCTTTGTATATTTTGATAAACTAAGAAAATTTGGAACTTGGGGAAAAAATTAAATAAAATGTAAAAAGTAACAAAAAAATAATAAATAGGCAACAATTGTCAAGTGTCCAAACCACCAGATTGTGACTGTAATTATGCTGTCACAGCTACAAGTTTGAGAATCAGTTGTAAATCTCCTCTTTTCAATGCCATTGTAACTGCCAATGGTCACTAAGCAAGCAGTTTAATAGAGTTGGAAGGGACTTTAGAGGTCTTCTAGTCCAACTCCCTGGTCAGGAGCAGGTGTCCAGTCTTTTCTTAAAAACCTCCAGTGATGGAGGTTCTGGAAGCAAGCTGTTCCACTGATTAATTGTTAATTGTTCTGACTATCAAGAAATTTCTACTTAGTTCTAGGTTGCTTCTCTCTTTGATGGTAAGGGAGGATTATTTATCTGGAATTTTATGTTTGAAATCTTGCAAATTACCCATTCTCAAACCAGAGTTGACAATCTTCCATGAGGTTTTAGGTACTTTCAGGCAGGACTGCTAAAGCTCCATGAAATGTGACATTCACATGATGTATCTATTTATCACAGTTCTATCACTCAGTCTATCGCTGCTCTCAGCTAGTAGATAGATAGGTAGAATCTGGTATTTTAAAACCCAACTAAGGAAAAATAAAAAGAAGAGAAAGAAATAGCAGTTTATAAGCTGTGTGAAACATAACAGGGATTTCTGAAGCTATGTTAGATCAGTACTATCAATAAAATAAACTTAATGTTTCTGGAGATCAATTCAGTGATCAATATTTGGCAAAGGTAACCCATATTGTAAGAACCATTAATCAGAACAGACGGTTAATAAAAATTTCTATCAAATTTAAGAAGGCCCATTCTTGTTAAAAACCAAACAGGTAAGAAGATGTTTTAAAGTTTTATGTTTGCAGAAATCCAAATTTCCAATGTGATACAACTCCATTGCAGAATGACTATCCATAAATGGTTTCTGGGGTAAATTAAATTCCATATCAGATTTGTTTTTAAATATGAAAATATTTTTGATATTGATGGACACTCTCACGGATATACTGCCATTCATCTGAAGAATATGTTGTTAATGATACTTAGCAGAGAAACAGCAGGTCGGAAAGGAAAGACAATATCTTTCATATATTTAGTACATCGTGTTTCAGAATTGTTGAACTTTATGAGATTGCTAACATACACACACACACACACACACACACACACACACACTCATTGTTCTATTCTCCATCCACTTACTCAGGAATCTTTGTTTTGATCCTGAATTGAATCTTAATAACAACTTTAACAAATGTTCTACCCTTTGTATTCTAAGTTTGTCAAATTTGGTCCAAATTCCACCTTTTTAAATTCCTTTTGGAACAAGACTTTTATTTGAAGATATTGAAAACAACTTGGCATTTGGTTCTTGAGGTTGCAAAAGGTACAGAATAACAAAGGGACCTTGGAGATCTTCTATTCCAACCCTCTACTCAGGCTGGAGACCCAATACCCGTGATGGCGAACCTATGGCACACGTGCCGGAAGTGGCGCGCAGAGCCATCTCTCCGGGCACACGAGCCGTCACCCGTTGCTCTTTCAGTTTCCAGCGCGCTGGTCAGCTGATCTTCACATGCACGGCAGCACCGGAAACCGGAAGAGAAGCTGTCTGGGGCACATGCACGTGCCGGGAAGATGATTTTCCAGTTTCCAGCATGCACATGGGTACCGGCTACCTGGGCTTCTGGTTTCTGGTGCGCATGCATGCATGAAGACCAGTTGGCCATGCGCGCAACATAAACCAGAAGATGATCTTCCCGGTGAGCTCATATGCACTGGGCGGCTGCCCTTCCGGTTTCTCGTGTGCACATGTGTACCAGCCAGCTGGTCTTCGCGCATGCATGCACACCAGAAACCAGAAGATCAGGTGGCTGGCACACATGCGTGCTTCTGAAACCGGAAGATCAGCTTCCCTGTGCACACGTGCCAAGAAGGTTCGCCAATACTGCCCTATACCATTCCAGACAAATGATATTCCTGTCTCTTCGTAAAAACCTCCAGTATTAATCTGATAATACCTTTGTCTCTCTCTCTCTCTCTTTCTCTTTCTCACTCTTAGGGTTCTGTGTGCGCGCAGCCTTGCCCATCAGGGACCTATGGGGTTAACTGCAGCCAAGAATGCCCCTGCCACAATGGAGGACAATGCGACCACGTGACAGGGGTCTGCCTGTGTACTGCAGGGTATATGGGAGACAGGTAGGCCTTGGAGTCAGATAAGGGGAACCCATTTTTCCATTCTTAAACCCCCCCCCCCAAAAAAAATCTGCTAATGTTTTATGTGATACTTACAGCCTTTCTGTACACTGAGAAAAATCGTCTTGCATGCACAATCCTTCTGGGATGCTAACTACTTTCAGGTGCTGGGATGAGACCAGTGGTGAAATCTAAAATTTGTTACTACCGGTTCTGTGGGCGTGGCTTGGTGGTGGGGTAATGTGACTGGGTGGGCGTGGCCTTTTTTTTTTTTTTACTTTTAAAACCATTTTTTCTACAACCTCTTCAGCGAAGAGGTTGTTAAAAAATGCTTTCAAAAGCCTCTGACGATCCCAGCTGAGTTGGCTGATCGGCAGAGGCTTTTTTTCTTTTAAAAGCCTCTGCCGATCAGGCAACTCAGCTTGGGTCATCAGAGGCATTTAAAAGAAAAAAAGCCTCTGCCGATCAGGCAACTCAGGTGGGATCATCAGAGGCTTTTTTTTTACTTTTAAAAACATTTTTTCAGCTGAAGAGGAGGTAGAAAAAATGCTTTTAAAAATTAAAAAAAAAGCCTCTGATGATTGTGCGGCTCAGCTGGGCATGGGGGGGCAGGGATTTTTGCTACCGGTTCTCCGAACCACCCGCCGTCATCGCTACCGGATCAGGTGATCCGGTCCGAACCGGGAGCATTTCACCCCTGGATGAGACTGAACGGCAGAATGGCCTGCCTCATGAAGACCAGCTTAGGCTTCGTAGATCAACATCTCAGGGAGACGTTTTAACAAACAGGCAATTTCAATCAGTCCATCAGAATAGAGCCGGAAGGGATCTTGGAGGTCTTCTAGTACAGAGTCCGTGTGTCAGCACTTCAACCTGCATTTACTCTAGTGCTGACATAAGAAGGAGAAGAGGGGGCAGCTGGCAAGAGGACGCTTGACATTTCACCTACTTATTTTCCTTGAAGATAATATCCCCTAGGAGATGAGATGGGAGGGGGCACATTCCTGGGAGCTGAAGTAGCAGATATGGGGAGAGTGATTTGGAAGAAGGCCAATGAGACGCAGAGAATTGGGGAACGGAAAGGGAAGGTTTGGGGTCAGAAAGTCAGAGTTGGCTACGCCACGATCGGGGACAGATTGCCGTGCTTAATAAAATGAAAGATTTCTTCAAAGACTATCTGTTTGGAAATGCAATTTATTTTTATTGAGATGACATCGAAACCTGACACCGTGACAATTTGCCATGGCTAACTCGCTACAGCCACCATGCCGCATTCAACTTGATGCAGGACATTTACTTATTTAGCGTATGGCTGGTCACACATTATTAAAACACTTCATTTTTACAGGTTAAAACAATTAAAACAATTAGAAAAAGAGCAGTAAGAAAACTTAAGAGGAAAACAGAAGCAACATTTCAGAATTTAATATCAAGTTTGGAGATCCAGTCAGTAGCTGTTGTTGTTACGCAGAGGAAGTCCCTAAAATCTCCTGGATACCTTCTGTTAGAGCATTCCCTCACTATATGTTGGAGAGTCTGTCGGGGGCCCCCGCAATCGCATTGTGCTGAAGGTGTCTTTCCCCATTTATACAAGAAGTTGCACACACCCCATGAGTCGTTCTAATTCTATTGTATGTCACCCATATGTGTCGGGGTAGATTAAATCCTGGAGGTATACTATTAGGATTAATATGCTCAGAAGGACAACTTTTTTTTTTTTTTTACTTTAATTTATATGCCGCCCTTCTCCGGAGACTCAGGGCGGCTTACAATGTGCTAAGCAATAGCCTTCATACTTTTGTATATTTTATACAAAGTCATCTTATTGCCCCCACAATCCGGGTCCTCATTTTACCTACCTTAGAAAGGATGGAAGGCTGAGTCAACCTTGAGCCTGGTGAGATTCGAACTTGCAGTAATTGCAAGCAGCAGATGTTAATAACAGTGCTTTAGTCCACTGTGCTACAGGCTCTTTGACACAGGACAAGAGCTACCCTAACATCAAAGAAATGGTGGAATAGAGTCATTAAAGAAAGGATGCAAAAGGAGAGGCAGAATGAAATGTGAATGGCAAAAATTAAAATACTTTTTAAAAATCTATTTTAAATAATTAAATAGAATCGTTAAATTGCCCAGTGGCGAGTTGGCCATGGCAAGTTCTCCCATTCTGCCTAGTCCAACCCCCTGCTCAAACAGGAGCCCCTATACCTGTGATGGTGAACCTATGGCACGCGTGCCAGAGGTGGCAAGCAGAGCCCTCTATTTTGGCACGTGCGCCAGCTGCTCTTCTGGTTTCCATTACACATATGCATGCCGACCAGCTGATCTTCACGCACGCTGTAGCGCCGGAAATCCAAAGACCAGCATGCCCACTGGCCACCTGGTCTTCAGGATTCCGGTGCTCTGGCGCGTGCACATGCATGCACACGCACATGTTCTGGTTTGGGCACTCTGTGTCGAAAATGTTTGCCATCACTGCCCTATACCATTGCAGGCATTTCTGTGGCATTTCTATTTCTGCATCTGTTCTGCCCCAGCTACGGACCCCAAAGAACGCAGCACACACAAAGTCTGTACAAACCTTAATTTACTAAATTAAATAAGTTTTTTTTTCCAAACAAAGGCTGTTAATTAACTTTCTTTACAGCCTACAAGAATGCAAAGAATAAATAATCTTAATCTTACCATGGTTGGCAGAAAGCCCAGAAGCAATTTGCAAAGAACTAAGATCAAGGCACGAAGGAGAGTGAACGAAGTTGTTCCCTGCAAATTGCTTCAGTCGGCGTTCCTCCTTAAATAGGCTAAGGGAGTGGCCAATTATCCCCAAGCCTTACTCTCGAGGAGACCTCCTCCTGAGGAGCCACTCCTGCCTTTTGGCCGCTCTGCGTGCCCGTGCATCGAGAAGAGGCTCCTCCTCTTCATCCTCTTCACTTAAGGGAGCTTCTGGAGGTTCTGAAGGCCTTGACTGAATCCTCACCTCTGGCACCGCATCTTCTCCAGCCTCCTCATTGTCCGACTCGAATGCCAGCTGCATAGGCTGCTGGCGCAGCACCACACCAGCCTCCTCGCTGTCAGAATCAGCCACCAGCTGCACAGGCTGCATACGGGCCACAGCAGCATCCCAAATGAACAGTAGGATTGGTTCAGTGACAAAATATGTACATTGGTAGATTGTTGCACAGATGGTGCTCAACTTGTGACTGCAATTGAGCCCGAACTTTATGTTGCTGAGCGAGACATTTGTTAAGTGAGTTTTGCCCCATTTTATGACTTTTCTTGCCAGAGTTGTTAAGTGAATCACTGCAGTTGGTAAGTTAGTAACCTGGTTCTTAGGTGAACCTGGTTTCCCCCCTTGGCTTGGCTTGCAAGAAGGTCGCAAAAAGGGATCACGTGACCCCCAGGTGACTGCAACCGTCATAAATATGAACCAATTTAAATATATTTTATGATGAATTGTATTTTACAATGCCTATGTTAATGATATCACAATTGCTTGTATGTACATTGAGAGCTTACACACCGGAAACAAATCCCTTGTGTATCTAATCACACTTGGCCAATAAAGAATTCAATTCTAATCAGTTGCCAGGAATCTGAATTTTGATCACATGACCATGGGGAGGCTGCAACGGTCGTAAGTGTGAAAAATGGTCATAAGTAACTTTGAACGGTCACTAAATGAACTGTCGTAAGTAGAGGACTATCTGTACTGTTGTCTCAGATGAAATGATTTAAGGATCCCACAAGGCTTTAGAAAACAGTCCTTGGGCAGTTAAGCTGTCAACTCTGGTCCACCAATGTCAATAAATTTATGTCCTAATAAAAACATTAATTTTTAATTGATCACAAGACCCTAAATCGTTTATGAGAAACGTTGTCAGTATAGTAAGGCAATTGCTACTCAATCCGAGATTCTTATTTTATTTCTTTGAATGATTTATCTGTCATCCCCAGCTAACAAATTCTCAGGGCAGCCCACATATCTTAGAGAGATATAGAAGTATAAATAAACAATCACATCAAATGGAAAATCGCACCGTTGGGAGATAGGAGGCAACAAGCAAAAACACAGATTGGATGGGAATCAAACGAAAGGCTCAGAAACATTTTCCCCAACCCCTAATTTACAAAATATAAAAGGATTTCTGATTTTTTTTTTCTCCAGGAAGCAGGTAACAGAGGAAGAATATTTAGTAGTTGATGCAAATCTTCCCGAAATTTGTATTCTTGAACCAATATATCAATGGAAATTAGTTATTTTTTAAAAAATTAATCTCAAGTTCTCTGATTTTTCAGAGCAGCTGTTCAACAGTAATTAAAAATTATATACAGGCAGTCCTCAACTTACAACACTTACAAGAATTCATTTAGTGACCATTCAAAGTTACGACTGCACCGAAAACAGTAATTTATGACCATTTTTCACACATATGACCATTGCAGCATCCCCATGGTCACATGATCAAAATTCAGACTCATATTTATGACGGCTGCAGTGTCTCAAGGGTCATGTGATCAGCTTTTGTGAACTTCTGACCAGCAAACCAGGGGTGAAATGTAAAATCTGTTACTACCGGTTCTGTGGGCATGGCTTGGTGGGGGGGGTAATGTGACTGGGTGGGCGTGGCCAACTTTTTTTAAGAAAAACTTTTCAAAGCATTTTTTCTAATGGGATCATCAGCTGGGATCGTCAGAGAGGCTTTTTAAAAAATGCCTCTCTGCCGATCAGGGAACTCAGCTGGGATCATCAGAGACTTTTCAAAGCATTTTTTTTACCATCTCTTCGGCCAAGAGGTTGCAGCAAAAAATGCTTTGAAAAGCCTCTGACGATCCCAGCTGAGCCGCGCGATCATCAGAGGCTTTTTTTTTTACTTTTAAAAGCATATTTTCGGTGGAAGAGGTTGTAGAAAATATGCTTTTAAAAGTAAAAAAAAAAGCCTCTGATGATCGTGCGACTCAGCTGGGCATGGGGGGGGCGCAGGGATTTTTGCTACCAGTTCTCC